GCCTGGCTGGGGGCACGGGGACACACACAGGGCACAGTGTGACACTGGAAGAGCCTGGCTGGGGACAGTGTGACACTGGAAAAGCCTGGCTGGGGCCACAGAGCTGAGCTGGACACACGCAGGGGACAGGGTGTGACACTGGAAGAGCCTGGCTGGGGGCACGGGGACAGACACAGGGCACAGTGTGACACTGGAAAAGCCTGGCTGGGGACAGTGTGACACTGGAAGAGCCTGGCTGGGGACACGGGGACACTGGAAGAGCCTGGCTGGGGCCACAGAGCTGAGCTGGACACACGCAGGGGACAGGGTGTGACACTGTGCGAGGCTGGGCTGGACAGGAATCCCTGGCGGAGCTTCCCAGGGAAGGTAAATCGGTGTCCGGTTGATGGTGGGGGAGTTTTTTTCCCCACTCGTTTTCCCCTCGCTGCAGCCTCCGGCGCAGGGCAGGAGCTCTGGGGAGGATTTTTGTTTCTCCTGTGGAAACGCACGGGCCTGTTCCCAAAAATGAGGCCAGCGCTGGTCCCTCCTGGCTCCCCGAGGCGCACGGACCCCACTGTGAGCACAGGACAGAGACAGAAACCCCTCAGGCCAACGGGGTGCCCACGGGGGGCTGGTGGCACCAGGGGACAGCAGGACACCGAGCCCTGCTCCCCGGGTGACAGGGATGCACAGGAGGGACGCAGCCGGGACCGAGGGATGGGAGCACATCCCTGGGGTAGGGGGGGATCAGCACTGGGGGTCCCGCAGCACCTCGGGTCCTCCTGTGGGTGTGGGACCCTCCTGCCAGGCGCGGGGGGGACCTGCCCCGTGGGAGGGACCCCTGAAGCAGGAGGGGGAGCCCAGGACCCTCGGGGGATGTCACGGCGCAAACAGAGCTCAGGTGGCTCAGCAAGGACGGGAATGTCGCGTGCCAGGACGGGAATGTCGCTGCCAGGACGGGAATGTCGCGAGCCAGGACGGGAATGTCGCGAGCCAGGATGGGAATGTCGCGAGCCAGGATGGGAATGTCGCGTGCCAGGATGGGAATGTCGCGAGCCAGGACGGGAATGTCGCTGCCAGGACGGGAATGTCGCGTGCCGGGACGGGAATGTCGCTGCCAGGACGGGAATGTCGCTGCCAGGATGGGAATGTCGCGAGCCGGGATGGGAATGTCGCGTGCCAGGACGGGAATGTCGCTGCCAGGACCCGTCCCCGTGCTCGGCCCCGCCGTGCAGCACCGGATCTGCCCCCGAGCACTCGGTGTCACCGGCGGAGCGCTGACAGCCCGGCGCTGCCTCTGCCCGTGGCAGCTCTCCAGCGCCGCTTTTCCAGGCGAGATTAATCCCCGGTTTTCCAGGAGCTGCGCGGCCTCCGGGCAGCTCCGAGCTCCCTCGCACGCCTTCCCCGGGCTGCAGAAGCCGGCCCGGAGCGGGGCCAGCCCCTCGTGGCCCCGGGGAAAGCCGGAGCCCTTGCAGAGGCGGCGGGCCGGGGCTGCCGCATCCCTCCCGGTGCGGTCGGCGTTTCCCCCCCGCGCTCCTTCCTCCCCTCCCACGCACCCGGCGCTGCCCGCGCAGCTCCAGCGGCGCAGAATTCCTGCAGGAGCAGGCAGCCCCTCGCCGGGATGGCTCCGAGCTGATGACAACAAACCAAAGGCATCCGCTCCTTCCCTTCCTTCCCCTCCCGGCCGGGCAGCGCGGGGCTCTGTAACCCGAGGCAGCCCGCACCGAGGTGCTGAACAGGCAGAATTTTCTCGCTGCCGTGTGAAAAGAAGTTTTCCAGACTTCAGAGGGAAGCGAAAAGCCAGAGCCGAGCCCCCGGGGGAGCCGCGGGCGGCTCCGAGCGGCCAGAGGGATGGGAGCCGGCAAAGGGGGCGAGTCCAGCCGCTCTGCCGGGGCGATCCCGACCCTTTGTGAGCGGCCCGAGCCCGGTCCCCGAGCCCCGAGCCCGGTCCCCGCGGTGCCGGGCCGGGGGAGGGCCGGTGAGGGGCACCCCCGGGGCCGCTGTGCCCGGCGGGGGGGTCACCCCGAAACCATCGCACTGTGGGGAGCCCCGACCGAGCGTCTCAGCCCCTCCGGGTCCCCTGGGTGTCCCGTCAGTGTCCCCGCAGCTCCCCGGGCAGCGTCCCCCGGCGCCTCCAGCGCTTCCCCCGCGCGTCCCCGCCGTGGCCCTGCCCGGAGCCCCCCGGGCACGGCCCCCCGCTGTCCCCCCGTGCCCACCTCGGGTGGCCGCTGGCTCCTCGGCGCGGCGCGGGGCTCCGCGGGGCTCCGGGAGCCGGCCCGGCCGCAGCATCCCCGGCGCGGCGGCGGAGGAGGAGCCTGGACCCCGCGCACCGGGCCCGCCCCGGCGCAGCCCCCGGCTTTGTGCGCCGGCCCCCGGCCCCTCCTCCGCGCCCCCCGCCCCTCCTCCGCGCCCCGGGCCGCGGCTGGGCCGGGAGCGCGGATTTCTGCTCGGATGCGGAGGGAGAGGGGCCCGCGGGCGGGTCCGGGCTCCGGCGGCGCCGGGGAAGCGCTGCGGGAATGGAGCCGAGGCCCGGGGGAGCCGCCGGGAGCCGGGAAAGGTCCGGGCTGAAGTTCCTGTTCTGCCTGATTCGCAGCGAGGACTTTGAGCAGAGGCTCCAAAATCCCGGGCTGGGCTGTGCTCACGCCACAGCCGCTCCCGGTGGCACCACCGGGGACACGATCCCCGGGCCTCCGACCCGCGGCAACCCGCTCGGGGGGCTGGAGCTGCTGCTCCAAGGGGGACCTGGCCCCTCCTGGGCTCGCTGGAGGGCGAGGGACGCTCTAAAGGAAAACCCCGAAGGTCTCTGCTCAATCCCTTGGGGCTGGGCCCCGATTTCTGTCGCCCAAGCGGGTTGTGCCGCAGGTGAGGTCTGTCCCGCTCCTAGTTTTCCAGGCTCCGTGTCCTTCCCGTTGCTCGCTGGCAGCCTGGAGCGGGGCTGGAGGTGCAGCGACATCGCCACGTCCCTTCCGTCCCTGCCCACCGGCCCTGGGTGGGGGTGTTCGCCTCCTCCCCCTCACCTGGGGAGCCGCTCCCTGCCCGGAATTTTCCTACCCGGAATTTTCCTACCCGGAATTTTCCTGCCCGGAGTGTTCCGCCTGCCCCAGGGCCGGGGCGCTGACGCAGCGCTCAGGAATCCGCCGGGCAGCTGGCGGCACATCTGGGCTTGTCCCGGGCACATCTGGGCTCGTCCCGGGCACGGAGCGGCCCGGTCCGGTATGCGGGGAGGGAGGGTCACCTGAGCCGGAACAGGGTCCCCATTCCAGCCCAGGATTCCCCATTCCAGCCCAGGGTCCCCATTCCAGCCCAGGACCCCCATTCCAGCCCAGGATCCCCATTCCAGCCCAGCATTCCCATTCCAGCCCAGCATTCCCCATTCCAGACCAGGATCCCCCATTCCAGACCAGGATTCCCCATTCCAGCCCAGGATCCCCATTCCAGCCCAGGATCCCTGATTCCATCTCAGGATTCCCCATTCCAGCCCAGGATCCCCATTCCAGCCCAGGACCCCCATTCCAGCCCAGCATTCCCATTCCAGCCCAGGGTCCCCATTCCAGCCCAGGACCCCCATTCCAGCCCAGGATCCCCATTCCAGCCCAGGATCCCCATTCCAGCCCAGGATCCCCCATTCCAGCCCAGGATCCCTTATTCCATCCCAGGGTTCCCATTCCAGCCCAGGATCCCCATTCCAGCCCAGGGTCCCCATTCCAGCCCAGGATCCCTTATTCCATCCCAGGGTTCCCATTCCAGCCCAGGACCCCCATTCCAGCCCAGGATTCCCCATTCCAGCCCAGGATCCCCATTCCAGCCCAGGATCCCCATTCCAGCCCAGGATCCCTGATTCCATCTCAGGATTCCCCATTCCAGCCCAGGGTCCCCATTCCAGCCCAGGATCCCCATTCCAGCCCAGGATCCCCATTCCAGCCCAGCATTCCCATTCCAGCCCAGCATTCCCATTCCAGCCCAGGATCCCCCATTCCAGGCCAGGGTTCCCATTCCATCCCAGCATCCCTGTTCAGTCTCACACTGGGCTGGTGGGTGCCCAAGAAATTGGGATGGTGTTCTGTGGGATTGGGATCCGTGCGTCCCATGGAGTTGGGATGTCCCATGGGATTGGGATCATTGTGTCCCATGGGATTGGCATGGTGTCCCTTGGAGTTGGGATGGTGTCCCATGGGATTGGGGTCATTATGTCCCATGGGATTGGCATGGTGTCCATGGGGTTGCCATGGTGTCCCACTGGATTGAGATCATGGTGTCCTGTGTGGATTGGGATCATGGTGTCCCATGGGTTGGGATAGTGTCCATGAGGTTGGGATTGTGTCCCATGGGATTGGAATTATTTTGTCCCATAGGGTTGGGATGGTCTCCATGGCGCTGGGGTGGTCTCCATGGGGTTGGGATGGTCTCCATGGAGTTGGGATGGTGTCCATGAGGCTGGGATGGTGTCCATGGGGTTGGGAT